AGACCCTACGAGCAAACCGGAAGTCACTTCTGGTTTGCTCGTAGGGTCTTTTTAGTCCTACGGAGGCTTCAGGGAAGCCTCCTGAAGGTCCCTGAAGCCTCCGTAGGGCTTCTGGTGGGGGGCGGGGAGGCTGTTTTCGCCCTCCCCAGGTTCCTATAAAGCCTCTGGAACCTGGGGTGAAAAAAGCATGCAAAAAATGGGGGGGGAGCACCTCTCATGCACACATGCACACTCTGAGGGTCGCGTGTTGCATTATGGATGTGGCATGCCCACACACAACCCTCCCTGTGCTCCCCCCTCTTATAGCACAAGGTTCGCCATCGCTGGTGTATAGTATATTATTGTTGCTTTGATTATTTGAAAGCAACACTTGTGGTTATAATCAAATCAGCGACAGAAGAACTTCCAGAACCAGCTGACATCTGAGAACAACTCTGTCTTCCTAAATCTTTTGGGCTTCCAGGTGATGCTGTGCTACAAACCCCATTAATCCCATATTGATTGTAAGTAATTTGAAAGAAACTGAATTTAAACACTCTAAATCTCACTGATGGAGGCTAGTTCTGCAATCTTCCCTGCTCTCCCCCGATTTTGGAATAAAATGCATTTCTGTTAAGTTAAATAATCATTTAATGCAGGGCTGGCAAACTCACAGCCTGCAGGCCGGATTTATCATGCGCTGGCCAAGAGGGGTGGAGGGGGGAGCCGCGATACGTCACGTGACGACAACGTGTCATCGCAGGTTTGATACCTGTGATTCAATGCATTCAATTAAATGATTCAATGAATGAATTAATGGCACCCTATCGATGCAAACAAGTCATTGTTTTACTTTCTCAGCTTTCCAACCAACACCCAATTCTGTCCATTTTTGCTTTTCGGCACAGCTAGTTCCAGTTAGAATTTTCCATCACAGCTGTTTGAATCCCTGCCCCTTTTTAAAACCTGCGTGACATATGCGATGCATGTAAAATGGGCATAAGGTTTTGATTGTATGGTTGTGGAGAACATTTTAATTTTTTTTTCCTGACATTATCTTCATGGAGATGCCTATCTTCCAAATACGCCTGTTCTTTAACCACACACACACACTTGGATTCTGGGACTTTCTCTGTTTTGTATTAAGATGATTATTACGGTAATGTTGCCCATTCTTGAATGAAGCATTCATTCCGATCAACACTGTGTAACAGCATAATCAAGATCCGTGTCTGACAATGTAAGGAACCACCTCAGATCTCTGTGCTAATACAGGCTTACAACCATTCAGTTAGTGACAATTTGAAGTTACAACAGCACTCAAAAAAGCGACTTATGATCCATTTTCATACTTATGACTGTTGCAGCTCTTCATGGCCATGCAATCAAAATTTGGACACTTGGCAACTGGCCCATATTTATGACAGTTGCCATATCCTGGGGTCATGTCATCATCTTTTGCAACTGTCAGCCTCTGCTTTGTTGCTGCTTCGGCTGCCATTGAAACGGGGAGGGGGGGCTGGTATTTGGGAGGAGAATCATTATGTGCTGGAGGAGTGTTCTAGAAGCTGTCCTGACCATCTCTTTGCGCATGTGGAGAAAGGGAGTTTCCCGCCAAGGCTAACTGTCCAGCATTCTACCCTTTTGATGCTTTTTGAAGATATCTCCCACCTGACAGTTGCTAAAAGAAAATGGCAATATTTTTTCAGAGGGCATTTGGCATCAGAGGGCATTTGGNCCATTAACCAGAATCAGTTTCGGCTACGCAGAAGAACATGCCCAAATGTTGATCCTAATAAATGACTGGATTTCTTTTGAACTTTGTCTCGAGGCTCGTAAATTAATTAGGTCATCTTTTGGAAACTTCACACAGTTTTTCAGGGGAATGTTTATCCACATGCACCTTATCTCATGTGGGGAGCTGCCAAATAACTAGTTTCCAAATGCAAGACAAGGCAAAACTTGGCACAGAGTCTCTTAAAGTCACAAACAGAACTTTCCACTCTTGAACCGACTAAATGAACAAATTGTTTCCTGCAAAAGCCCACTCCCTGTTCGTTCCTCTTTTGGGAGGGGCCAATCACCTCCAAAGTGTGGCTTTACTCCTAAGTCAACTCTGCTTTCTTAGTTGTTCTTGTCTTCTGGAAGCTCTGTGCATGCACACACAGGGAACAGACTCCAGCTGTTCTTCTGCCCTACTGCTGCCTAACTCCTCCATGCCTCTGATTCAAAGCTTTCGTCTGAGCTTTCTTCAACCCTCAGGACTGGCCCATGTTCCTCCCCAACCTCCTCACTGTCTGACTCTGGAGGGCCACAACACTGGTATCAGCGACGAGTCAAAAGACAGTGTATATCAGGGGTGTCAAACTCAAGGCCCATGGGCCAGTTCTGACCTGTGGGGTGTTTAAATCTGGCCCACGGGGTTGCCCTGGAAACTGAAAGATCGTCCCACAGTGCTTCTGCTAGCAAAAATGGGGCTCCGGAACCCATTTTCCCTGGTAGAGCACTTGGGCCACCATATGCCTTCCCTGACATGAGTGATGTCAAGTTGATCATGCCCACCTGTCCCCCAAGGTCAACCACAACCCTGATGTGGCCCTCAATGAAATCAAGTTCGACAGCCCTGATGTATATCCTCATGAAGACATTTATTGGATTCCAAGACCACTCGTCTTCCTAGTTATTTTATGTGTCTTATGTTTATTTTCTTTCTGGGTTTGACAGTTTTTACACTTGCCAACTCAAAAGGCTGTGGGCAAGTTGCAACACATTAAAATAAAACAGAAGCAGCAATAGGAATAAATAAAAATGATTCTTAAAAAGCCCCAGCAGTAAGAATAAACCAGCCTCCCTTCAGGATGGACACCAGTATAATGTAGCTAGGGTTGAAGGGTCAATAGAATAAAACTGACTTTTAAAGATCTAAGAAGTATGAGGAATTTATGGACTTATCTGAGGAGTGGAGTGCAGATTGCAAGTATGCCAAGGGAATCACCCTTTCAAATGGTCTTGTGCAATCCGCCTACCCAAATTCAAGCAATTAAGATGACATTCAAGAAATCACAATGACCCACAACTGGGTGGTAACAGTTAGCTCGACTGACTTTGAAAAGTAACCAGGACAGAGTGTGAAAATTTGGAATTCAGAAGAATGCACTTTCTTAACATCTAAAGTTCCACAATTAAATGGTTCCCATGGCAATGAGCAAAGGAAGCGTCTCGCTGGGTTAGGCATAATTGCATCTAATCCATCCTTCTATGGAATTCAGTGTGCAACTTGGTAAATTTGAGAAGCACACAAGCCAGTACAGGAAGGTATTGTCTCTCTTCTAAGGGACCCGGAGGCTCAGTGGCTAAGACACTGAGCTTGTCAATCAGAAAGGTTGGAAGTTCGGCACTTTGAATGCCGCATAAGAGAGTGAGCTCCCATTACTTGTCCCAGCTTCTGCCAACCTAGCAGTTCAAAAGCATGTAAAATTGCAAGTAGAAAAACAGGGACCACTTTTGGTGGGAAGGTAACAGCGTTCCATGCACCCTTCGGTGTTTAGTCATGCCCAGCACATGACCATGGGGACATCTTCGGACAGCCCTGGCTCTTTGGCTTGGAAATGGAGATGAGCACCGCCCCCTAGAGCTGGGAACAACTAACACATATGTGCGGAAGCTGGGAGAAGTAATGGGAGCTCACTCTGCAAAAATTCCTTCGCTGTGGTGCAGGAGGCCAAGTAGGCCACGCCCCCAGCAACTAGGCAGAGAACCAGTTGCTAACATTTTTTAATCCCACCCCTGAGTCATAA